GCCCCGCCCCCCCCCCCCTATCCTACCCCTCCTGCTTCTTGCCCCCTGGGATTCCTGTCCCATCCAACCCCCCCTGTTCCCTGTCCCCTGCAGTCCCCGGAACCCCTGCCCCTGACTGCCCCCTGCTGCCCCATCCAACCTCTCCTCTCCTTCCTGGATGCCCCCTGGAAACCCCTACCCCCATTCAATCCCCCTGTTCCCCACCCTCTGACTGCCCTGAACCCTATCCACACCCCCGCCCCACGACTACCACTCCAAACTCCCCTGCCCTCTATCCAACTCCCCTGCTCCCTGCCCCCTTACCGCGCTGCCTGGAGCACCGGTGGCTGGCGGCACTACAGCTACGCTGCCCAGAGCACAAGGACAGGCAGCTGCGCCACCAGCCACGCCACCGTGCAGCACAGAGCACCGGGTCAGGCCATGGCTCTGCAGCTGTGCTGCCTGGCAAGAACTCGCAGCCCCACCGCCCAGAGCATTGCGCCGGCAGCGGGACAAGCTGAGGCTGCGGGGGAGGGGGAACAGCAGGGGAGGGACAGAGGCTAGCCTCCCAGGGCAGGCCCTCAGGGGCCAGGCAGGAGGGTCCCGCAGGCCGTAGTTTGCCCACCTCTGATGTACAGACTTCAACCAGGTCTAGGCCCCAGTGTCCCAGGTGCTGTACAAAAATATGACAATCTCTGCCTCAGAGAACTATTAGGACAAAGCAGGTGGGTGAAACAACACAGAGATTAGCGAAAAAGTCACGTACTAACAAAATACGGCACTGGGTCACTTACAGCAGTGTCTGCAGTTTACAGTGTGGATGTTTCAGTCCCTCACACAGATGTTTCAGTCCTGAGTCTCCCAGTGTGTTAGCACTCAGATCCAGCTTTTCCAGGGACTGGTTTGTAAAGAGAGTCTTAGGGGAGAGGTCCTCAGGGAAAGCAGATGAGAGTTTGCAGCTGGACAAGCTGAAGGGAAGAAATGAACAGATCAAAGTTACCTCTGCACTGTATGAAACAGTTACTAACCTTGCATGGTGGGTGAACTCTGCATTTGGAGAGGCTAGCCCTCTGCCCCACCTGAGGCCTGCGCCTACCTCACCCCACCAGAGCCAGAGTAGCCCCGAGCCCCTCATTGCAGCTTGAGCCCCCCCATTCCCCCATTGCAGCCTAAGCCCCTTTCCCCCCCTTCCAAACCGCATCCCCGTCTGCCTGGGTCCCGAGCCGCTGGCCAGCCCAGGCACGAAGCTCTGGGCCACTGGCCCGAGCCAAGCCCACACCGGCTTCAGGGGAGAGGCGGAGCAAGGGCGGGGCCTCGGGGCACAGCGTGGGTGGGGCCAGGTCCTGGGTTTAGGGAGGCTTAGCGTCCCCTGGTCTATTATATCTGCCATCCATGTTACTAACAGTTCTGTAACTGTTGTTCTTCAAGGTGTATTGCACATGCCTCTTCCACGTTAGAAACATTTGCAGGCCCAGTGCACAATTGTCAGAGATTTTTCCACCAGCAGGGGCAGTGCATGTGTCCTCCACTGGCACGCGCTGCCATGTGATGGTATAAAGGCTGGAGCTGCCCCCGACCCTACTCAGTTCCTTCTAACCAAAAAGACTCAATATGGAGAGAGAGGAGGGTGGGATGTGGAATAGACACATGCAACACATCTTGCAGAAGAGTTACAGAACAGGTTAGTAATTTTTCTTCTTCTTCTTCTTCGAAATAAAATGGAAACCTAAAGTGGAACGCACATGTGCTGTCGCTTGAAGAAGAAATGCTGGATGATGGATTCCATCATTTCATAGGGTTTAAGGCCAGAAGGGACCACCCGATCATCTACTCTGATCTCCTGTAGATCACAAACCACTACACAGCATCAGGTCACCCCTATATTAAAATCAAAGACTTTAGTTAGCCCAAAACATTTCAGTCCTCAGGAAACTAAACTGTTGTGCACCAGCAGCAGAGAACAAGAGAGACTGAGGTGCCACCAATGGCTGAGGTCCCTGCAAAGGCAGGGAAGTGATTTGGTGAGATACACACAGATAATATCAGCAGGAGATCTGAGCCCCACACTGCAGAAGATGACAACCTCCCCCCCCCCCCCAAGTCCCTGCCAATCTGACATGGGGGAAATTCCTTCCCAACCCCAAATCTGGAGATCAGTGTATGACTGAGCATGTGAGCAAGACACCCCAGCCAGGCATCTTAGACAGATGGGTTATCTGTACCATCTCAGAGCACTGGTCCACTCCATCCAGTGTCCCATCTCCAGCTCTGCCTAATCTGATGCTACAGAGGAAGGCAGAATAACTCCAGACTATGCCAAACCAGTTGTGCATTGAGAAAAAAATCCCTCTTGCCCCCTGCAGCATGAGATTTGATTTGATTATCGTCGATATAAACTGTTCAGGAAGGACAGGCAGGGCAGAAAAGGCGGGGGAGTTTGTATGTAAGAGAGGAGTATGACTGCTCAGAGCTCCGGTATGAAACTGCAGAAAAACCTGAGAGTCTCTGGATAAAGTTGAGAAGTGTGAGCAACAAGGGTGATGTCATGGTTGGAGTCTGCTATAGACCACCAGACCGGGGGGATGAGGTGGACGAGGCTTTCTTCCGGCAACTAACAGAAGTTGCTAGATCGCAGGCCCTGGTTCTCATGGGAGACTTTAATCACCCTGATACCTGCTGGGAGAGCAATACAGCGGTGCACAGACAATCCAGGAAGTTTTTGGAAAGTGTAGGGGACAATTTCCTGGTGCAAGTGCTGGAGGAACCAACTAGGGGCAGAGCTCTTCTTGACCTGCTGCTCACAAACAGGGAAGAATTAGTAGGGGAAGCAAAAGTGGATGGGAACCTGGGAGGCAGTGACCATGAGATGGTTGAGTTCAGGATCCTGACACAAGGAAGAAAGGAGAGCAGCAGAATATGGACCCTGGACTTCAGAAAAGCAGACTTTGACTCCTCAGGGAACAGATGGGCAGGATCCCCTGGCAAATTAACATGAAGCGCAAAGGTCTCCAGGTAAACTGCCTGTATTGTAAAGAATCCTTATTCAGACCGAACTAACAAACCTACCCGTTATGAAGAAAGAGATGGTAAAATGCCAGGAGGCCAGCTTGAAT